ATTTATATAATTTTAATTTCAAAATTCAAAATTAATAAATTTCCTATCAATGCACAAATTTATACTAATAGTAGTATTTATTTAATTTATGCTAATAATGCTTAAACTAATAATTTCACCAATAGTATTTTAAGTAAAAGAAATATGCATTATTGATAAAGTAACTAATTACTCAAATTAATGGCCAATGATCAATCAACATAAATCAAACATTTAAATTAAAACAAAATCTTACTGTAATACTTCTGCTAAACAATTATAATTTTATAGATATATACATCAATCGAATTGTAAAGCATATATTAATCGGATTTGATTGATAATTTATTAATGCATGCTTGAATTGTAAATCAATCCGGTTAATGCATTCGTTAGTTATGCGATCATTAGTAATTGAAAAATATACAATTTTATATAATTAATGCTAATTATTACTTAATTTTTAATCCTATATTATTGGCAAAATAGAATCGATACAAATTAAAATTTATTTAAGCAACATATCATAATTTAATTTAATCAGTACTTAACAAAATTATTCATATTTAAAATTATAAAAATATTTTCTTTTTTATGCAACTGATATAATAAAATTAAAAATTAAATATTTGTCTGTTAAAAAAAAAAAGAAAAAAATGAAAAAAATTTATTTAGTTTAATCATAATTCTTGAAAAAAAAAGGAACTAAATTAGTCTAGTTTTAATTTTGAATGATGACCATATTATTTATACGAATTATTAAATCTCTAAGTAATATAACTAAAAAAAAATGTATCTTCATGGAGACTGTATTTTTGCGCAGATTGTACCTTCACGAAGACTGTATCTTCATGGAGACTGTATCATCTTTGCGCAGATTGTACCTTCACGAAGACTGTATGTTCGTGCAGATTATACCTTCACAAAATTATATCTTTATTGAAGACTGTATTATTAAAAGAAAAAAAAAGCAAGACTAAAAATAATGATTTCACTTATTAATTATTATATAAATAAGAAAATAAACTTTACACCGATGATGATTACTGATAAGACAAATAAATTTAATCACCCATGAAATGATAGTTCATATATAAGCAAGGGAAGAGAATAAAAAGAGTGAATGGAGTGATAAGATGATAAGTGATAGGAAAATAATAATGGAAAGAAGATAGAAAATTAACGACTAAAATGATGACTTCACTTATTATTTCTTACATGTCTTAACACCAAATTTCTATCCTTTCCTTTTACTTCCTAATATTTTACATTATTAATCGTAAAATGGATTTTAGTATAAAATTGGTAAATTAAAATTATTAAATTTAATAAGTGAAATTATAAGATACCAAAAACTGCAAAATATATTATTTGCATCAAACATTTCTATCATAAAACTTAAATGTTAGTTAGGACAAAGTTGAAATAAATGACAACATTTACTAATTACAAGGCGTAATTTGTTAGTAATTTAAATATTTGATAAAGTTTTTCTGAATTTTACAAAATTTGAATTTGATTGAATGTTTAAATGTGATAAACTCAATGAGGTTTAAAATATTTCTAAAAACTCGCAAATGAACATAGAAGGGAAAGGGGAGAAAAAAACTTTTATAAAGTGGATTTGCAACAAAAACTAAAGTAAAAAAAAAAAATTAAAAGAGAAGTGGATTAATGACCAAAAAAATTTTCAGCTTTTGATATTGTGGAAAATCAATGTGGCGCAAAATGACACGTGACAAGTTTTTGAATTACGACCTATTTTAAGCACACGCATTAATCATTACCTAAAAATGTAAGTTTATGATCATTGCTATCACTGGATAATACTTATTTTAAGCAAAAGATATATGAGATCATTTAACTGTGCTATCACTGTTATCACTAGATAGTATGTCAGATTCTTTTACTTGATATTATCATTCTTATATTAATTCCAAATAGCTTCTTGTTTATTTTCTCGGTGATTTAAAACAGATTAATCAGAAGGTAAGTAAAGTTTTAAAAATCTTAGAAAATTTTAATTTATGAGAAAAAGTGAAGAGGAAAGTGTCATGTAATTGATAACTTTCCTAAAGGACCAGTCGGATTGCCAAATGTAAAGGATCAGCCGGATCTAAAGGATCAATCTGATTCACATATGTATATGATGATGATACATTTGATTTGTTTAAAAGAAAAATTTGATCCAAAATATCTGGGTGTTTAATTCGAGATAATTCATCCCTAATATTAATCTTTCTGGATTAGCCGAATCTAAACTATTCATTCGATTCGATTCGATTCAGCACATTTCCGTCATTTATCATATAATACAACCGGTTCTAATGATTTGATCAAAAAGAATTATTAGCATCGAAATAATTCCCAAATTACAAACATATACCGAGCATACTTCTGTATTTCGAGATGACTTCCTCTGGATTATTCCTATCTCCATATCCAATTCATTCATGAATACAGTACAATAATCTTTTGAGGGGAAAGGTCAGATGATTGCTATTGTTTGCAAATGAAATTACTGTAATTCAAAAAGAAGAAAGATTTCTATGACATCAAAATTCTTATTTTATAATTAAAAATTTAACATAAATTCTATTTTATCATTAAAAATTGAAAAATTCTAACAATTTTATATATTTGAGAGAAAAAAAAAAAGACAAAAAGGATAATCGTAGCAACTTAGGGATAATAGACCGATAGATTCGTCGTAAATTACGTGATTTCGATGAATAGAATAACATATCAACGAACTACATAACCTTCATAAACGATACACTATCTACATGTGATACAATCATCGTGAAGGATACAGTCTTCGCAAGTGATATCGTAAGCAATGTAAAAGTTAACTTTTTTTTCCTAAACAAGGAAACCATCTTTACAAAAAAAATATATTCGAAAAGATTGTATACATGGGAAGACTGTATCTTCATGGAGACTGTATCTTTGCGCAGATTATACGTTCACGAAGACTGTATGTTCGCGTAGATTATACCTTCATAAAATTATACCATTATTGAAGACTGTATTATTAGTAAAGGATGAGGAATAAGAATGAAATAACATTCCACAAGCAAGCATTTATCATTTTCACAGCTATCGTCGGCATCTTCTTTTAATATTAAACAATATTACAATCAAACTAAAAGGAAATATAAAAGTCGAAAATTTGCAAATTTTTCAAATTTAATGCAGACTTTTAGGCTCATTTTTTCTTTTAATGAAAAATTAAATTTATTAATTTTTAAAAATAATGCACAAGGATGAATGAAAATAAAATAAAAATTAATCAAAATATTTGGTTATATTTCTCGTGATAAATGTACAAATTAAATAAAATAAATGATTTATATGGACGTTTTTTTCACGTATGAAACGTGAACTTTACGTATGCATGTAATATATGTATGGATGAAATGGTATATATTTGTTAAAATTATTAAAATGTTTAAATGAAACCGAAATGAATTGGATGGGAACAATGGAATATGTTAACAGTTGGCATCATTAGAATTTCCTTTATGAAGGAATTTCTGTTCAATAAAATCATAAGATAAAAGTTATCGATAGTTTAATCTCTCCTGATAATATCAATTGCAAATAATTTGCGCAAATGTTATAGCAAAGCTTTAAATGTTTGTAGCGCAAATATTATAGTAAAGCTTTAAATGCTTGTAAAAATGACATATATTTCGGTATCTTTGAAATATTTCATTAAATGATGTTAATTAATGCGTAAAATTTCATATTTTTTCGTCTTAAACAATTTAATAATAAGGGATTGTATAAAATATTTCAAAAATTTTTGGATATAAACTAAGCATTTTCTTTTTTTTTGTTTGAAATAAATTAAATTTTATTTTCGAATTTAATAATTTCAAGTGAAAATTTAGATTTGACTAAAGTATAGCTTCGCTTAATTAGCCATTTATTTCAAATAATTAGCAATAATAAAAGAATCGGGACTGATTGTAAAAAAAAGTTTAATTTATAAAATAATCATTCCTTTCGTTTTGTATATGATAAATTATGAACCTCTTTTTTTTCTTTTTTTCTCAAATCAAATGATAATAATAAGAATTTAATTTTCATTATTCTTCATTAAGCATTAATGACGACAAACGCCTATTACCCTTATGTTAAGCTTAAATAATTAATAGATGTGTGAAACGACCGTATCATTGTAATGAGTGGTGGTGAATGGGTATACCATGCTTTTCAACATTATACTATAATCTATTACCATTTCATTTACATAAAATTATATCATTTGAATGCAATGGTAGTAATTGTAGCAGTACGGTAACATGATAAAGCATATTTGCATATAAATTTTAAAATTGCTCACACGTAGATTTAATTTGAACGAAATTAATATCACTTGTAGATTTATTGCTCAATCATATGTATTGGATTTGAAAAAAAAAGTTTAAATTTTGAGGAAAAAAAGTTGAATTTTGAAAAAAAGGGAAATTTGCATAATCTATTCAATGATTCTTCCAAATGAAATATAACAGTGAATGTTGTGGTCAACAGCGTTGTAAAAATTTGTATCCAATTTCAAACTTATCTTCGAACATCACAATTTATTACAGAGTATTTCGTTAGCCTTCCAGGTAATTAAAGAAGTTTGAATGGAAAAGGAACAAATGAAACCAAAGTTTTAATTTTGTGTATGGATTAATTGTTGAGAAATGATAAAAAGTTTAATCCATTTTTGGAATTCCCAATTTTGATACATTAACCAACATATTTTCATAATCCTACCTGGTCAGCGCTAATTTCGTAGCGTACATTAAGTGGTTCAGTTTCCGGTATTCCAACCGGTGTTGTTAACCATTCTGTCGCATTCACACCCACGCCATCATCATTTTCCGCTGCTATATTAATTTCGTACAATCGTCCCATAACTGCAAATAATTACAGTAAAGAAAATGGGTAAAAAATGAAAAAAGAAAAGTTAAAACAATAAACATAACAATGCAATCTGTAGAAATTCCACTTATTTTCCGAGTCTCGAATTAATATCTAACCTGATCCGTAATTAATTCCTAATGATTTGCTCGATTTATAATCAATCAAAAAAGGGATGAAAAATTTCTCCCCGACTATCCCATGATTAGTTCATTCTAACTCTATTTTCATTTCATGATAGAATAAGAATGCAGCTTTATTATCAGCAGTAATTCGAAAATATCATTACTGACAAGTTATCATCAATAAACTAGAATTTAATTTACATAAATTGATAACTTGAAAACAAATATAATTAATCTCGTAAAATTTCAATATGATCAATCTTTGCTTTATATTTCTCTTTTTTTTTGTGAAAATATCGAGGGAGTAAATGGTAAATAGCAAACCAGTAGATTTAATTGAAGATATTCGTGAAAATAAATTGTATTCATTGGAATTTCAAAAACTTTTTCTTATTTAAAAAATCGATTTTTTGAAATATAAATTAAAAAAAAAAGAGGCAAAGATAAAAAGCATTTTCACGTACATAAACCATCAAGTATAGCAAAATTTTGCGTGCCAGGTACTTCAATCTTACGTGCATCGATATGTTCGGAAGGTTTGTACCAAATCAGATATTTGTTAATTGGCAAATTGTATGTGAACTGAAATTTATGGGAATTGCAGAAAAATTAATTCATTGAAAAAAGATTTTAAAACCAATTAAAATCATAGTTATATGATCTTACCTTATTATGTAATGCAAAAAAAAAAAATAAATTGAAACTAATTATTTAATTCTTAGAAAGTTTTTTTTTCCTTTTTAATTACAAATTTCACATGAAAGATATTAAAGTTATTTTATTCCTTTTTTTTTAATACTTATTAATTGGAAATTATTTGCACGAATTTGTCACAAAATTTCAAATTAATTTATTGAACAAAAATTAAGTCTAATCAATTATTTCAATAATTAAAACAATAATTTGAAATGTTAATCTGTTAAATTCAAACCTTTGGTGGTTTCCAATCAACACGTGCCCGCAACGGAGCTTCATCATTGAGCAAATTAACGGAATGAGTTTGTGGTTCTGACGGAGCTAGAAATGAAAGCAGTCAGGAATGATATATAATTAATACATATTTATATGGGGAAAAAAATTTCCCGGAATTTTACGGATGTAATTTAGTCAAAAAAAATTCCGGAAAATAAATTGTATTTACTGAAATTTCAAAAATGAAATAAATTTTTCTTTCGAAATACGATGAAATATTTGCAAAAAAAAAAAAAAATAGAAATAAGACTTTAAAACGAATGCTTACGCAATCCACCCGTAAGAATTTTTTTGCTTGCACTAAATTCGCCATCACCATGCCTGTTGAAAGCATTTACTCGGAATGAATACTCCGTATTCGGTTCAAGATCTGTGATTAACGTATGTGTTTTCTGGAAAAAAAAAAAAAACAATATCCGGAAATTTCACATGATAACAAAACATATTTCAAAGCAATAAAAAGTATTGGAGAAAATGCATAAAATGATAGTGGAAAAAAACCTGACAAATTGCACTAAATGGTTAGCTTAATTAGCTTACTTGAACAGGTATTATGCAGGTATAATTTCCCAGTTATTTAATAAACATCCGAAGTTTACGCAAATTTAGTTTTTAATAAAATTATATATTTCATATAAAACTATTCTGATATTTGATTTATGAAGGAATGAAATCAATTATGGTACTTTCTTGTATTTCAAATATCAAATTTCTAATATCATATTTTTTATACAAATTTAGCATACTTTAATAATGCATTTTATTGTATTATTTTCTTAAATATTGAAGAAGTCATTACCATTTATATTCAAAATGATCAATAAAAGAAGTGCCAATCAATATATTCGTTATTTTCAAGATTTAAAAAATAAAAAAAAATTAAAATTATAATTAAGCAAGCAAATTATCAACGATATTACATAAACAATAAAAATTTTTCACACGAAATTTTGCTTTTTTTAAAATTAAAATTTTAATTTTATTTAATTATAGCTAACATGTTGATCATAGATGATAGCTCGTTGTAATTTATCATCGATCGGTTCACCGTTTAATAATCGATCCTTATAAACATAGTATCCGATGATATCACCATTTGCATACAATGGCTTTTCCCAGCTTACTTTTACTGCTGATGCATTAACCAACATAACTTCCATATCTCTTGGAGCTGATGGTACTAAAAAAGAAAAAAAAGTAATGAGTGAAAAGTTGAATAAATAATTGAAGTAGTTAAATGTTTTGATTTTCAAAAAATTTTTTTCTTATTATTAAAAAAAAAAAA